TGTAAAGTATTCCGCTCCCTGCAGTCGGTCAAGGGTATCATCAAGACGTGGAAGAGGATAGATATCGAGCTTGGTTGTACTATTAAGCTTCCTGTAATCTACACAAAACCGCACAGTGCCATCTTTCTTTCTCACTAACACCACTGGTGATGACCATGGGCTCGTTGACGGACTCACCACACCGTGGTCGAGCATCTCAGTCACTTGCTGTTTGATGGTTTCACGCTCTGTTGGGGCTAGGCGGCGTAGTGGCTGATGCATTGGTCGGCTGTCACCGGTGTCAGTGGTATGTGTTGCATACGGTGCGCATCCAAGTTCGTCCGGACTCAGGGCGATGCAGTTTCGATGTGACAACAATACCCTCTTGATTTTCGTTTTCTGCTCGCAACTCAATTCTGGTCGAAGCTTAAATTCTTCCCACGGTAAAGCATTATCCTGACTGTAAAAATAGCACTCGTTATCTGACTCTAGAGAAATACTGACAAGTATTGAGATCTTGTCCTTCGCCAACGGTCGGAGTACACCAATCTGTTTCCCTGGATTGAGAGCACACTTGGGTAGTAATTCAATTACATTAATTAAATTATTGTAATTTAATTACTTTTCCTGGTAATTTGTAATTTTAATAATTACTTTTGACTAAAAGGAATTGTAATTGTAATTTAATTACTTTCTAGCGTCAGTAATTGCTAAATTTCAGGCACAATTACAATTACTTTTGCAAGATTTGGCGGCGGCGGCGCTTTTCTCCCTGGCCACGGAGACGACAGCACAGCCAAAGCGACAGGGGAGAGAGTGTCTCCCAACCTGCTCAAAAGGAGGGATGGGAAGAAGAGGCTGGGATAGAACGCAATTAAGCATTTTGTAGACTTTAAAACGATTTAATGAAGAATTTGAGAAATAATTTGATAAATGAGGGCTACATTCGCGTCCGTTTTTGTTCCTGTCGTAGATGAATCTGACTCTTCGTCTCATTCGCTTCCTGTTGCTCCTGTTTCCAGGGGTCTTTCTTGTTTTTCATTCCCACAAGGGGGCATCGGGGGTCGAACACGAGCTGGTTGGCTCCGATCACATCATCCGGTCGAGGCGGGGAGGTTCGAGGTTCTCCGTACGCGTCTTCGCCGCTAGCATATTCGCTTACATATTTCAGTCAAGTTTGGGGACTTTTTTGTTCATCAAATTATTCTCTTTTCTTTATGCTTTTTTCACGTCCTTCTCCTCTATCTCGTATGTTGGCATCACTAACAGTAAGTCGTGCTACTCTGACATCGAGGCAAAGAAGCAGCATGTCTCATTAACACCAACTCACCCTGCCTTACTTCCAACTGTTGCTGCTACACTGTTCTTCCTTCTCCCAATCCTCGTCTACCTTTTTGTATAAATCTTCATTATTTAGTGTTCGCACTACCTAACCCTTTTAACCGTTTGTCAGCCTGACTGGATGAGATTCCAAAACTTACAAACCGCGGCTTTAAACTGTAGGGAGCTTGTTTTTGCGTTTGGGTTGTTCGTTGAAGGCTTCTTTTTTTTTTTTTTATAGAGGGCTTGGCTTGCACTTTGTTTTTACACTTCTATCGTGACCCTCCACGCGTTGTCCTCTCGTCCTGGACTGTAGACCCGTCCCGAGGCGCGCAGTGCTGCTTTGCATTGAGAACCTGCAACAGTCTTATCTACAATGGAAAAGGAAAGGCTGCCGGGGCCTTGTTACGAAAAATTCTTTAAAAAAATTAGCAGCAATGTAAAAAAATATAATCGTGAGGTGCAAACTCTCCGCACCGTCTCTGAAAACAAATTCAACAAACCGAAACGCGACCTCCAATTTGCGGGAACATTTGCAGGTAGGCAACTTCTTTGTCACTTTCAGTAATACTGAACAGTTATAAAAATAATAATAATAATAGCTCGTCTATATCTTCCAGCTGAAACACGCTCAAGTAAATCATGAAATTGAGGCGTCCAAGAGGCCGCGGGTTTGGAATAATTCGCGGATTCTAATTTTCGCGACGCGGTGGGGTCCCACTATAGATTCCAATGTGTTTACATTTTACCGGAATTGCTCGCGGGACTTATTTTTCGCGAACTATAGGCAATTCGCGAAATTCGAGAAAATAAAGTCGTTTACAGTGTATCATGAATTTTTCGAGGTTGTTCTTGCCATGCTAAATTCAAATCGGCCTTCTTTATGAAACGCATAACATCGATACAATCATTGCTATCCTAATGATTATCTATATGACGATCCTAAATTTATTATTTATCTCAGGAGCTTTTTGGGTGTTACCGTGCACTTAACCCAGAATCCCTGGCAATAGAGTTGCAGATATTGTGACACTAGTTTTGTGGAAGCGACCACAGTTTGCGTGCTACGGTAACCCACATCCGGCATGTTACAAGTCCAAAGACAGGGAGAGGCAGCGAATCATCGTGGCTGAAATGTTTTCGTAAGTTGTCGTATTCTTTAAATGTTTGACGTCGTTTACAAGTTTCTCTTATTGGCCATTTTTACGTGAGTTTTATGATACCAGTACTGTCGCATATTTGTTTCCTTGTATTATTTTTAAGTTTATTTCTTGTTGGTTTGACTTGGATACCATTTGCATAAGCTCTAAGGAAATTCACCTCGCACCTGTGAATTTTGTGGCCATTGATTTTTATTTTTTTGAGAATATAAGAACGCAGGAGTTCATTACTCCAAACTATTAAGTTCTATAATCCATTTAACAAATTTCATAAAAGGAAAGTACAATGCGTGACATTTATACAGCGGCCATAAAACTCGTTTACAGTTATATGGCCCAAGGTGGGTAACTCTCAGAAATAAGTAATTGTAAAGTAATTGCATTACTTTTAAAAGTAATTTGTAATTGCAATGAACTACTTTCGCGTAGTAGTAATTGTAATTGTAGTTAAAATACTTTGGGAGCTAAGTAATTGTAATTGTAATTAAATTACATTTTGAAAGTAATTTACCCATGTATGATTGAGAGTGATGTCGTTGGCACCTAGATCAACGACAAGAGCGACGAATTCTCCATTGGTACAAGCCACGAGTGTCCGGGGTGCAGCTAGTTCTTTCCCTGGTTTCGCACAGAGCCACGAGTCGAAAACAGCTTCGCCGTAAACCTTCTTGTTGTTTACAGTCAGGCGTATCATTGAAGCAGTCTCGGCAGGTATTGCAGCAGAGTCTTTAACGCATACGTTTAATTCATCCGATAGCTGTACTTGAGCACATATGATGTTGGTATATTGGGAGAAAAACTTTAGAAATAGGTGCCACTTTTCCACGGCGACGAGGGAAAATGAGCGAACGAGGTACACAAACCACACAAAAATACTTTCGCATCGTGGAATGCTGGCGTGTAATGTTTTCATGGGTGGATGCGGGGTTTTGGTGGCATTGTTCTGTTCGGGGTTCAACTTAAAAAAATCCGTTTTTCTGGCACCACTCATAACCCAGAATAATCGGAGAGACGGAATTCGACAAAATTACGAAGTCCACTAACGACGTCTCACCGAGCGCAGTGACGAGTAACTTCACTTGTCCACCGGTGTGAACTTTGACGCCGTTGGCTGTAAAAAGTTGTGGAGCCATTACAATCAGCCGGTACAAGCGTCGCGTCGATTATGCTAACCGCTGCTCCAGTATCGAGGAGACTTTCTTGTATTAATTCTAATTCCTTGAATCTCCACTTTGGTAGTTGGTAGACCAGTAAAACTCCTTGAAAGAGATACGAGGCGGACTTGGTCCTCTATACCCGATCCCGCCCCTGTGGACCGGAATATCCGTTTCCCGACGCGCTGTAACACTCTGCAGCCAAGTGTCCTTGTCGCCCGCATTGAAAACAGCGCCTCTTGGTGTTAACTCGTTGGTGACCTTCAGGTTGCTGGCGTGTTCCAGGCGTCTCCAGATGAGTAGTTGGCTTTAACTGTGCCGGGCAAGAAACCTGGGCGTTTTCTGTTGCCTTTTGAATAGCTGAGCTTTCCAACGCCTTAGCCAAAGCCTCTCGAACTGTCTTTGACCCTTCAAGTCGAACAAATTTTTGAACTTCAGTGTCCGCAATGGCGTCGACGAAGGCAGTAGTGCTGAGAAGGTGAAAAGTGTCGGCGGAAACTCCCACAAATGATTTTCGCGCTAGGCACTCAACTTCCGTTGCCAGGGCTTGTAGTGTTTCCCCCGGCTGTTGTCGGCGGCAACGTAACTCGCCATAGCGGACGTGTTGTAGATGTTTGTCGCCAAAGGGGTCTTCAAGTCCCGCTACCAACGTTTGGTAGGTTAGAGTTCTTCCTTGAAGTTGGGCCAGTATCGCGATGGCTGGTCCCTGTGTGCCGCAAGAGCGTAAGTTGTTTCATCTTCGGACCATTGGTTTGCTTGAGCAACAATGTTAGCTTGCTCGAGGTAAAGGTTAAGTGGCACGCTACCATCGAAGGGCTTCAGTTTCAAACGAAGGGGATTCGAGGTGGCAGGAAATGTGCGTACCGTTGCTGAGTCGGTCCGATTCTCCGAGTCTCTCCTTTCCTCTAGCGCTATGATTTTTTGTCGAAGGTCTTCTTGTGCAGACGTAACGGGTTGCACCTGCGCCTGGACCATAGCCGTCATCGTTGATTCGAAGCCCTGTCTCTGTTCCACGAACAGATCCCTCAGTTGGGCGTAGGTAACTGGACCTTCAGTGTTGCTGGTGTCCTCGGGAGAGGGGGAAGGTTCGCCAGACTGGGATTGTTGTCGTGTGAAGGGCATTTTCTTTTCGCAGATCCCACTTCTGACACAAAAATGTTACAGATCGCTTTTTTCCGCTGCTGCCACTTCGTCCTTCTCCCGTCTACTACCCACTTCTTCTCCTTCTTTTCCTCCTTTTTGTCCCGCTCGTTGCACCTCAATGTCCTACTGTCACAATATATATATATATTGCAGGTTACCAGAAGGACGTTCATCAAGGCATTTCGTCAGGAATTTCATCAGATCAGAGTAGCCCGGCTGCCTCCTCACAAGGAACAGCGCAATCATGGGTAAGAAGATTGCCTGCAAATATGCTAATTCAGTTGTGCGAATAAATTGATTAGCGTAGTGTCGTACCTATAGCTTCGAAACTGTGAATATAGCTTGCATGCCGTAGCCTACCTCATGCTGTGAGTGAGGTAACGCTATTTCATTCCAACCACGTTTCACACACCACAACCAAGAGGTATTATGAGCGCCTAAGCACCTTAGTTTGTGACCGATCACCTGGACGATTGGTGAAAACAGAGCTTCCACCCACCTGCAAGAGAATCTTCGATCATATTTTGGCGACTGCTAGATACAAAACACTGTACTTCAAATCATGTTCCTTAAGGTCCGTTGACACACTTTCGTTTGCTTAAAACAGAGTTCTTGTGATCTGGAACAGACTGGCACGCTGGCGCCATCTATAGGCTGACCCACCAGCTGCATTTGACTAGAGCGAGGTTTTTACGGTATTCCCGAGATCAAATGTAGAGAGAAATGTGAGCGGAAACACCCCGTTTGCCTCTTTCTACGCTGCAGCCTCCATAACTCCTATAATCTCATAATTTCTCAAATAGTGAAGAGACGAGAACCGAGACTCCGAGTTCCAGAGTTTAAAGTGGAACGTCTTCGATGACAGGCAGATTCTCCCATAAGCATGACGGGCTGTTCCTTTTAATATATCTTACGACTGTACCCATAATCATAAGAAATTGTTGTCCATAATGTTCTCAAACAAAAACGTTTCCAGCTAAAACAGAAAGAATTCCGTATTTACTCGAGTAATAGCCGCACTGTTTATGAAGAAAACATGAAGGTTCGCTTTTCCGTGGAGCACGCACATTGCCAATCACCGCGATTGACAGCATGATTTTAACAGTTTACAGGGCAGAGATGACGTCTTCGTGCAAAGATGCTATCTCTGAAGATTGAATTCGTATGGAGAATTGTGTTCTCAATCTGGTTATTCGGTATGTTCTTTATGCGCAACGCAGTGATTGGCTGTATATGTGTTCTGTGGGAAAGTAGACGAAGGGGCCTTGTTCATAAATAGTGCGGCTATTACTCGAGTAAATACGGTAGTGGGCGGAAAATATAGGAAATATACGGAAATGCCAAATGTCCCTTCGTCGTAGGATATTTTAAGATGCGTTAAAGAAAACGGTCCTAAGCAGTCCCAAGTCTGTGAACCAGGCTTAATGCTCCATTTCTCTCAAAATACAAAGTAACTGGCCAAAAGGTATCGCACTTTTTTTCCAATTGTATCATCCTCAGCCAAGGACCCCAAAAGGTACACCGTTAACAAGAGCGGTTCTGAAGTCCTCGCCAAGGACCCTGAGGCTCAACCTCCTCGCCTCAAGAGAGAAGTGGGACTAGTGAGTGCTACAGCTCTACTCATCGGTGCCGTCATTGGTATGCATCTTTTATTATCTAAAATGTTATAATTGGCATCTGTGAAGGGGTGTTATAAACGAAGTGGCTTGATAAAAATTGAGCAAAAAAAGGCATCTGCACGTAATGAGCTTTTTTATTATTATTAAAACATTTAATGGTAAATGTTACCTTGTGAAATTTCAGGGAGCAACTCAGTTTTTGAAAAAGTTTAGAAGAAAATTCTTGAATGTTTTTAGTGGCGTGCTCCGATGCAGACTAGCGATCTAATCACCATAGAGTCGTGATCGTGGCACCATCTTTCGATAGGCGCGGCAAGCACTCGGTCAAAAGCAAACGACGAAGAAACGAGTACTTGCTGTGCCTATCAAAAGACGACGTTACAAGCCCAACTATCGGGATGCTCATCCGTCAGCCTCGGAGCCCGTCACTGAAAGTGCGAAAGAAGTTAGATTTTTTTTTGTGTTTTTTTTATTTACCTATTTAAGTACTTCTTTATGAAAGCTTTATGACCTTACTTGCAGCCATAGAAATATTGGTTCGCTTCAATGGCAGCCCTTCTACTTGTGCCACTCTGTATTTAAGATAAGAAATCTTACATATCTGACGGTTGTGTACCTGCTCCTAAATGTTTAGGGTTTTTAATCTACCACTCATTGCATGATACTGATTTCCCAATAACGTTCGAATAGTTTGTAATTGACATTGCCTGACGCTTCTTCGCGCCGTGGGTTGGAATAAATCCGCTTTTTTTTTTTTTTGGGGGGGGGGGGGGGGCAGAATCAAAGAACGAGGGTTGGGGTGATATCTGATACAAATTTCACACTGCTTTGCAGGTTCTGGCATTTTCGTGACACCCAGCACCGTCTTCAGAAAGTCTGGTTCCATTGGCGTCGTCCTCGTTGTTTGGTCAGTCTCCGGAGTCCTCACCCTTATAGGTAAATGTTATGAAGATAGAATAATTTTGTCTCAATAAGACATTTTGTGAACACCAAAATAGTACAGCTTCTGGAGGTATACGTTCTGGCGACAGCAAAACAAAATTACTTCAACTCCTTAACCATGAGACGGAACGGTCGTGGTGATTGACCTCTAAGACGCCACTACTTCATGTTTCTTAGCTTTCACTACCAAAATGCGTAACAAAAATACGAGTTTAGTTTGTTTTATGGTCAGGAAATTAACGTCCCCTGACCGCAGGATTTGTATTTGAATTAAAACCCGCATCCAACTGACCACTGATATATCCCCAACCGCCTACTAATGCCTTATAATACCCGGCAGAAGCAAACATGTTCACTGTATCAACGATTAAATATAACTGGTAATTATAAACTTTACATGTGACACTAGTTTATTTAAAGTCGGTATATTTATTATGCACATTTATATGTACACATCTCTTAAAAGAAATCTGAAAAAAAAACGTAGCTTTTCACTTTAGCAAGCAATCATAAATGCGCATAAAGTGGTATAACAAGAGCGATTCTAAGATTGTAATCACATTTTCCCTTTTTGAATTGTGTATACTTTCGTGAGTACCCGTGATTCTTTGCTGAACGCACAAATCAGGAACGGTACGCGTGACACAGATAAGAAAATTCCAACATAGAACGTACAACTTATCTCTACACTATACTCTGTTTCACCTTATGATGTACCGCAAGAAAGGCTACAAGCGCGAGCTCCTTGCTTTGGGGCACATCTCGGCGGCACAAGCTCTCGTGCATTAAGGGTAGCAGCCAAGCCTACGAGCTCGCGCATCTAGCCTTCGCTGCGGTACAACATAAGGTGAAACAGAGTATAATAATATGTATACTATTAAACTCAGGTTAGGTTTATCAAAAAGGCAAAAAAAATATTCGAGTAAATACGGCGCTCGACAATACCGTAATGCATTTTTTTTAGTATCAGTCAGGTAATACGTTTTCTAGAAAATATTTCATATCACTAAAATACCGAGTCCCTATAATTTCACAAGCTAAATTATGATCACAATTTAAGAAACAATGTTCAATGAAAGTCAATATTCAACGGCATTTTATGAAAGTATGAAGATTCAACAATCACTGATAAAAACAAAATGTTGTTGTCAGTGTTGTTGTTGTTTTGTAGCTTTAAATTCAGGGGGCTATATGTTGTCGCACTCTAAGAAGTCTGGTGCCTTTATATTTCCCTATGAAGCACCTAGACGAGTTAATCGCTGCAACCGATGGAGACCGGTTTTTGAAGTCCTAACATATTTTCAGTCCCGTCTTTCGCCCAGATCTCTCCGTAGATGGCTGCGATTAGCTCTTGCATGTGCTTTGCGGGAAACTAAACGCTGCAGGTTTCTAAGGGTGCAAGGCGTTGAAATAACAGGTACCCGATTTCAGAATCCAAAATTATGAGCCGAATTTCAGTAACAACGTCTTACAAAAATTAAACATTCAACAGCGTTTTTCTGAAAGTAAAACTTTCAAAAATCACCGATTCAAATAGATTTGATATTGTTTCGCTGTTGTTGATACTATTGTTGTTTTTGGTTGTTGTGGCCGTTTTTCAGGTGGGCTATGTTACGCGGAACTTGGAGCTCTCTTGCCAGCCGCCGGCGGTGATTACGCCTACCTGATCGCCGGCGGCAAGTGGCTGGGCAAGTTCGGCGACGTCATCCCGTTTTTTCACGCCTGGTTTTTCCTGCTCATATCGGACCCCATGAGCGCGGCCCTCCAGGGTTTGACTTTTTCGAGCTACATTCTCAGCATCGTCTATCGCAGCTGCCCACCTCCTTATGCGGTGAACGTCTTTGTGGCTCTTGCGTTTACGTGTAAGTATATGCAGATGTCCTTTCAAGCAACATCCTGAGTTTCTTGAGATCTCGGGTACTATAGTTAAAACAATATATGAATGCGTACGGTAGCCATACAATGTCAATATATGAATAAATAAAACGTCTGGTAGACGGGCACATGAAAGGTCTTCAAAATGACCTCCTTTACATGATCGGTGAACCAGCGCACGCCGATAGGCGTGTTATCGCGATCTGGTTTTCAGATTCTTTAAAGGATGTCGTTCTGGCGTCCTTTAATATGCCCGTATGATAGGGGCTTAAAACGGCCCACTATATACGCTGGATTAATTCGTGTAATCTCTGGTATATTTATTCGACAAATTGTATACGCAAATTTTTCTGTTTTTAATATCGTACAGAAGATTTCTAACTTGTGCCTGGTCATACAGTGGCTGAAACCCTATGACTGAACCACCGTGTAAGATAGATTCATAGGTGAGGACACAAAGCACGCTGAGCGCTGCTGTATACGCGATCGACCGGATAAAGTCCTATTCACGTGATCCCGAATCCTCAGCTGTCAGCGTCCCGACCGTCCAGACGGCTCAACTGAAAAAAACAAAAAGAAAAAACAAATCCAAAGAAGTGTCTCATTCCCATGGCAACCGGGAGCGCACTCCTTCCGCTTGGAGCGTCTGCTCTTACATTGGACGGTCGCTGGCTTGAACACCGCGCCAGAGATCTCCACGCTTCAACGCGTTCATAAAACTGCTCTTACTACCGTTGAGAAACGAAACTAAAGCCAATGACAAAGCGGGGTCTAAGCGACACGCGTAGCTTAAGCGCCAAGTTCTGCGTGACGTGGAACACACACCCAGAAAACAACTTTGAATACAAGCATGTCTCGCATAGAGACGCATGGCTTCCATTATAAAGCGTATGAAAATGTCGTCTGGTGGCGCCGCTTGTTACCAAGACGACGAGAGGACCTTAGATTTACTTTTAAAAGGCCGCGAAAGGTGGACCAATGCGGTCTGCAAAGTATATACGGCCAGGGAGATATAATACACAGGACTTATCCTCACAATAAGGCGGATAATTGACTTTAAAAAAATTAATTTTCTTTTTTAATGTGTGTGAATAAGCGTTTGGTTACAACGAGACCCTTGCTGCGTGTCGTCTAAAACCCCTAAATCAGTCAATATTTGAAAGGCTCGAAGCAGGTGCGAAGCTCGGGAGTGTGCTAGAGTTGCCGCTCGTGCAACAGACGCAATGCTGGCGAAGCGAAAACGCGAATGAAAGGGTTATTATCCGTGTTTTCTGGACCGCCAGCATTGTGCCTGTTGCACAAACGTAAACTTTCCTTGTCCTTGATTGTGTGTAGTAACGACATAGAACACACACACGCACAAAAAAAAAAGTTCTAGCCCATCTAGTGCGCATATTCAAAGGTCGAAGGAATCGATATAGCGAAGTAAAACACACACTGTGTTATAATTAAAGCACCGAAAGCGACTTTTTAAAGACAGGTTTAAATAAGTGGTCGCGAGGAGCGAGTTCCAGCTTTCCCCAATTAACAGAGGGCGCAATCATCCGATCTCATTCTCTGGCCGGGTTCGCTTTTATTGTGTTTGGTTTTCTCGCCAAATATCCGACTCAACAACTATAAATTTTCGATTGTCTTTTTTTTTTTTCTTACCAAACTCCAGAAAAACAAAATTAGGGGATGTCAGTATTTATAATATCGCGATTCACCAAGGTACGTCAGTAGGGTAGCATTCACAAAGTATCTACTTTTTTATAGGAAGTTGCTTGCATGTTCTCGCCAACCCTATAAGAAAAACTATTTATTTGCATAGGTCCTTAAATACAAAAAAATAGCATCACGTAACAACTGCCCGGATACAATTGTTGTTTCCCGTTATGCTATAGGTTCACTTCAATGTCATGTAACGGTTTAATAGTGGAATGTCTAATGTGGTTCAGGGTATGAAGGAAGTCGTATTAACACTGCCTTACTTTCAGCTCTTGCGACACTCATAAACTGTATATCTGTGAAAACATCAGCGAGGGTTCAGGATGTGCTTTCATCAATCAAGTGCTTAGTTCTACTGTCCATCATAATTACCGGTGTAATCTCGGCATTCAGAGGTAAGCAACATTAGGAAATAAATTTTAAAAGTGTTCATCAGGAGAGTATTTCAATTACACAGCTGTTGGTGTTCTATTTCAGAAAATCATCTCCTGGACAAGCCTTTCTTCACAGGCGATACAAAAGCTGCGGACGTTGTGTTTGCTTTCTATGGGGCCATTTATTCGTATGGAGGATGGTAGGAACGTTTTCGTCCTGACTTTTCAAAGTTATCTAATTTATAGCATATGGATGGAATGTTTAAAATGTGTATGTGTAATAATATATCTGGTTAGTGCATCTGTGTCTTTAATCCTTGAGGCTTTCTTTAGTATGGCGAAACCACAATTTTCTTTAGTATGGCGAAACACAGCGAAACGACATTTTTGGACTGGATGATACGCGCTGAAATGGCACTTGCCAGCGACCGTAATTATCATGCCACCGCAACGTCCTTGCAGGAGCCAAATCACCCACATTGCTGAAGAGATTAAAAACCCCACGAGAAACATACCCTGGGCGCTGATCTTCGGCATCTTCATCATAACGCTCATCTACATCGGTACCAACGTGGCCTACTTCGTGGTCCTGGACGCTCCAACGATAGCCAGCACGGACGCCATAGCTGTATCATTTACTGCGGCCACTTGGGGACCCCTAGCGGCCACGGTGATACCCATCTGCGTAGCAGTCAGCTGCTTCGGTACCCTGTGTGCAGGATACTTCAGCAGTGCTAGGGTCATGCTGGCTGCTGGAAGACAAGGACACCTTCCTCTGATCTTTTCTTTCATCACAGTGGAAACGTCTTTACCACTGACTTCAATCCTTTTAAGAGGATGCCTAGCCGTCGGCTACACGTTCGTCGGTTCAGTGGAAGCTCTTATAGTCGGTGCTGTCTTCTTAGCGAGTCTGGCAGGTGTGTTCGTTGTGCTCACGCTGTTCGTACTCCGCTTCACGATGGAAGATGCACCAAGGCCCTACCGCGTTCCTACGGTGCTGGCTGTCATCAAGCTGGTGGTGTTGGTTGCGTTAATCGTCCTACCGTTTCTGAAACCCGTTGAGTACCTACAGTACGTTGTAATCATGGCCGTTCTTACACTGGGTGGCGTCTATTACGTGCTGTTTACTCGTTTTGAGCTAGTTTTTCCCGGTAGTCGACAAGCAGCCTGCTTTGTTCAGAAGTTGTTGATGTGCGTTCCTTGCGTCAACGAGCTCGAACTAATGCTCAAGGAAAAGTTGTGATCATGAGCACAATCTCAGTCTTATTAACACTTTTGTGACGCTGCTTTAAACCAGCCTGAAATGAAATATTGGACAGGCAGAGATTCATTTAAACTTGTAGGGCCCTGACCCTGCAACAAACTGATTCTAGATATTTCATAACAAACTCTATGCCAACAAAAAGACCTGGTTAGATTTGTACGAAGTATTTATTATATTAGCGGGTATACTGAGACTCGTTGCTACTTCATAAGCGCGAGTGCCCAATTTTAATTAAATTATAAACTTTTTTTTTACGTATGCAAGCCAGCGTACGCTGAGAGACAATAATGTTGACGGAAATAAAGGTTGTTGTTTTGTTACCCGAACCCTCGGCGTGGTTACCGGAATCGATGTACAGTCACTGACAACTTAAGAAACCCAGGGCGTGGAAGCGTCCCGACTATCTCGTCATCCCTCCGCAGCCAACCAGAGTACGAATTTGCCGGTAAGAACGCTGAAGAGCCCATCACGAGGCAAGGAGCGTGAACGTGACAAACCACGCCCTGCTGCGTCTTTTTTTTTTTTTTAAGATGTCAGTGACTACATATGGGAATGTGACGTCTGATTTGTAATGTTGTTTCGGCCGACCGAGCATAAACATCTATCGACCAACACACTGTTGGTAAGCAAGCACGCGTTTGTCCACGCGGGGGTGCGGGCATTGCACGAATGCGCAGAAACCAGATTTGCCCGAGGCGTAGCATCAGCGCACGCGCGTTGCCGACAGCAGCGCCACCGCAGTGCCGTGGCGTCAGAGAGTTGGGTTGCCCTTACAAAAAAAATTTAATGAATTTCATTTGAAAATTTATCGAGTCTAATCATCGCATCTTTTCGAGTCTAAATAGAAATGCAAACGAGTTTTGAAACAAATCCGTAAGGAGTTTACGAAAACTATTGGCCACCGCGTTCCAATTCAAGTTTCAACGCGCTACCGCATAAAGTTTCTAATATATTTTATATGAATATAATTTTAAAGTCTATTGACACCATTTCGAGTCTGTGTTGAAAAACAATTAATTTTTTGTAACGAGTCCCTGAGGAGTTTATGAAAACTATTGGCCACCGGGTTTCAAGTAAGGTTTTGTCGTGCCACCTCATAGGAATTTATAATACATTTCATTTGAAAGTCTATGTAGGAGTCGCTTTAGTATTTGATAGTTTCCTGGAAAATGAGGTAATCGATCTTCAACCGTTCGGATGGGGGCACCCCGACGGCTCGCCCTCAGGATAGGGGGATGAGCGGCTTGAGCCCCTTTTAATCTTTGGCCCGGGAAGGAGACAGACATTCTTGCCTGTCGCCGCGAGGTAGGCGCACCCTCCCCGGCTTTGTCGTCACGGCGCGTTCCCAGTGACGGCTTGTTCACTCGGGAGACTGCTACAATGAGGTTTTAGCGATGAGAGGCGCCGGTCTGGGTCCACTTGGACTCCATTACGCTTTACTCGTTAACTTCGAAGGACACGGCGCCAATTAGTTTTGACGAGGCGAAGTGGGGGGGGTGTTTTCCCCGTAAAGTATCGCCCCGATTGGAGAGTTCCCCCAGGGGTTTAGCATTGTTTCTCTTCTTAGAAAAGGGAAATAACGAGTTCTCTGGCCTCTCTGTGATTGGTGGAGGACCCGCTGGCACTGGGGCCGATAGAATTGTTTAATCGTCCTGATTGGACAGGCCCTCTGTCAGCGGGGAGTTTTCTCGTCCGCGCTGGCGAGGAAACGTTGAGTTTGAACAAGCCCGTGCGCGGAGCAAGTTATCTTCCGTGGTCCGCCGGTCCGTGTAGCTTTGTCGCGAGCGACGAGCAGTTTCTTTGAGCCTCCCCGTGCGCGGTGGGCACTTTGCGCCGAGGCGCGTTTTTTTCGCATTTCTACTGCCATGAGCGGACAGTAGAGTCCTGTAACCAAGTTCGCCGTTGTCGTTTTAATATATTTGTTTTTATCAATCGTTGCTCTCGACTTGGAGCGTCTTTCTTCGAGGCTCCGCCACCACCAACGAGCAAGACGCGACCATCCAGCGCGGCTGTCCACGATCGCCCGGCCCTGGCCTACAACTTCTAGGAAGGACCGGGACAAAACAACCTGTGACCCTCAGAGAGAGGAATTCTTTACTGTCTAGATACACTGCTTTGAGTCTCGATTGAAAATCAAATGTTTTTTTCTACCGCGTTGTAATCGAGGTTTTGGCGTGCCATCTCATTAAGTATATTCCGTCGAGTCGGAATATACCTAATGAGATGGCCCATCAAAACCTCAATTATAATGTGGCAGAAAAATACATTGATTTTCAACAGAGACTCAAAGCACTGTATCTAGACTTTCAAATGAAATGTATTAAAAATTATACTCCTAGCATAGGTTTCTAGATAGAGAGGTCTAAGAGGGAAGACGGCAACAGATTGCATGACATGTGGTTCGGACGTAACCGCTGTTTTGAGGGAAGGGGAAAGTGAGTGCAAGTGTCACTTATATTTTTGCCTACATACGCATGCAGGGTTCAGAAAATGCCTCCATAAAACCGTGGGAGGAGTAATAACTGGTTTATTAAAAATGCGAAATTCGAGTAGATGGTACACTGCCTTCATGTCCATGGGGGACCTTGTACTGCCTTCGTGTCCACGGGAGACCTTGTACTGCCTTCGCGTCCACAAAAAATACACGTAACCTATAAAAAAAAGATGCACAGTTACACATTGATCTGCTTATCTAAACTTCAATGTTCGAGCAAGGTATCCTGTTCACAGTGCAGCACTACCTCAGCGGTGGATCAGTATTACAAACCGGGACATCAGTCCTTTGCATGAAAGGAGGCAACTCAGAACACACGATACAAACCATGGAAGTATCAGTGACTCGTTGCCTTGACAAGGCTCAGTTAGCATCGCACTGTATGTGCGAACCAGCCTTAAATGCAAAAATTCACATTTAAAATTACTACAGTTTTGCTCGCTCAGGCACTTAATTTACACACTACCTTCATAGTTTAATGAGTAGCACTAACAACATTGTCAGGGGCACCATGGTGCAAAAGTATACTTTGCCCCCGAGTCTGAGAGAATCACTCTCACTGTTTTTGCCGCCGCATCGCAGTCTTTTATTTTGGCTTTTGACAAGGTCCACCAAAGATAAGCGAGGAGATGTTATCGCTTATGAAGTTTACCAAATTTGAACATAGAGAAGCTATAACTTATAAGCATCTCGAAGAATTAATATGACCACTCGGGCCAGTTTGTTCATAATCGTAGGCAAGCGCCGCAAGAACACATAGACAATAAGTGGTGGTAAACACTGGCGCCAGTATTTTATGTCCAATCCTTGTCCCTCTGTATTTTGTTTTGTTTACTATCTTGAAGAAATATTTTTAATCACAGGGGACAGTAAGGAAACGGTAATAGGGTTCTATGCGGATCATAAAGCCAGGCTCCGAATGGGTGTGTGTCAACTGCAGCTTTCACAATCGATGCAATACACGAAGTTTGAATTATTAAGAGGATCGAGACATCAGAGGCCGAATTAAACAAAAAAAAAAAAAACTTACGATAAAACATTCCGTATGACAAAACCCGAGAAGAAATCCGTATTAACGAAACATAATTGTCGCAACTTTTGAGTGACTTACAACGGAATATTACGACATCATCCAAAGTGTCTTACAAACTCCTTAGGGCAAACATGGCCGCACGTCACTTGGCTATTTCGCCGCGACCAGCAATGAAGTTAGAAGCGTGGGCAAGAGGCACGTGTTTTTCGCACTATTTGCATGCATCCCTACTTGAAGCAGCATAAGGACAATGCTAAACAACACACGGATTCAGCCGACGAGTCTGCCGAGCTGTCCATCCTGCCGGTTAGAGCTTACAAGCTGCAGGACTGCGATCAACGGCGAGACGCGCCAATGAATCAACGAAAGAAAATGTCACACAAATCTTCAGTGCACCCAAATGGATCCTTCACATGGTGTGAACCTGATTTGGTGATCACTAGTGCCCCCTCGTACTTCAGTTGTGATTTTCGAAGTGGTAGGCAGCTGTGCGACTCTACCACACGAAAAGGCACTTTCCTGACTGGATGTGCCTTTTTAATGCGAAAGCATTATATGTCCATGGAGCAGAAAATCCGGCGTCCGGCGGCGTTAACCGAGGGGTGCCAAATGCCAACAGAGGACTAAAAGAAAGAATTAAATATGCTTCCACGGCTGAGATTCGAACCTGGTGCTGCTGTGTGAGAGCAAGGCAATGCTAGCTGCTGTGTTATCTCAGCCGCTTCGCAATGCGGCATTACTCTACCCTCAAAAAGAAGCTTGTCCCATTACGGCAAAAGACGGCGTCGGCGTTGATGTGCCCGAAAGGTGGTCATAAAAATATGTTTTCGGTTCGATGACATCACACTTCACGTGACGACATTACGTACCATGATGTGCGACGCCATATAATTAACGTAAAAAAAATGAAAGCCGTTTACAACTCCCTGTAACGCCGAATTAGAGCGCAGCTCTTGAGGAGGAGGAGGGAAGGGTACTGGGGGGTGGGTCAAGTGACCTCGGGGGGCGGGGGGTCACGTGACCTTGGGGGTCACGTGACCTTGTGGGAGTCACGTGACCTTGGGGCGTCACGTGACGTCGGGGGGTCACGTGACCTGGGGCCACGTGACGATACCGATGACGTCATCAGTAGCGTCACTGATGACGCCATCAGTGATGATGATGACGATGCGGATGCCGGTGACGTCATCAGTGACGTCACTAATGACGTCATCAGTGATGATGACGATGACGATGCGGATGCCGGTGACGTCATCAGTGACGTCACTGACGACGTCATCAGTGCCTATGACGTCAACGGGGGGTCACGTGATCTCGGGGGGTATCCCCAGGTCACGTGACCCCAGGGGGGGTCACGACCTGGGTAACCATCGTGACCCTCGTGAGAGTAACCCTAGTAACCCTTGTGAGGGCAACTCTCGTGACCCTCGTGAGGGTAACTCTCGTGACCCT